GCCTGCAGTTCCCTGGGTCCTCCCTCCGGCCTGCTTGGAAATGGGTGTCACGTTTGCCACGTTCCAGTCAAGTGGAACCTGAACATCTACAGATTTTCTCACATTTGAAAGTTAGGAACAGAGAAAACAGTTTTTTCCTAATCTTCTTATGCTAAAAAAACCCCAAACAAAAAAACCACCAAACTATTTTCCCAGGTAGGGCTATATGGCATGTATGAAGTTATTCATAATGACAACAAATATATTCCTTGTGTAAGACTTGAAGCTCCTACACTGAATATAATAATATGCAAGGTTTTTATTTTTCAGTGTCATTAACCTCTTTTCCCGTGAACAGAAAACATAAGAGAAACTGCCATTGAGCATAGCATAACCAGGGTCAAAATGGCAAGCTGTCTTCTCTGGATGTTCAGATGGGCACGAGATCCTTTGCCCTATGTGCTTATAGTTACAAAAGCAGAGGCAGTCCCGTGGAATTCCTCCGGAGATCTAAAATCATTCAGATGTACTCTTCCTTTCACTTGAGTTAGTCTGACAGCTCAGTTTATGAACCTCGTTTTGACGGGTCTAAACTTTGTGCATATGACTGAAACCATAAACATCAAAGCATGAACCCGAGTCACTGCTCCTCATCCGTTGTTGGTTTGCACTAGTCAAGAGCTGCAGCCCTCTGCCTCCCCCTTTTCTTGATTTTCCGTGTGAGGAGAGTGGTGAAGTATGGCGAGGGCAATCGGGGAACTCTGTGCCGCAAGCTAAAGCTTGATGACATTTCCACAGTCTCTTTGCTGTGATTTGTTTGGAATTTGAGCTGACCAGTAAATGCGGCTGCTAAAGGGTAATTAAAAAAAGAAATGGAAAGAAGAAAGAGAAGAAGCAAACACAGTAACAATGTGGGAATTATAAACGGACTTGCTACCCTCCTCTGGTTTCAATGTTTGTTGAAAATGACTATTGCAGGAAGGGAGAAATAGACATGTGTTTTGAAGAGCCTATTTATTTTTTTTCCCCCTAAGGTTTTTTTTTTTTTTTTTATTGTAGTTTCTTGCTAGGCTTCTATGTTAGAAACGGCTGTTCTGGATTTTCCTGGTTTTGTTGGAGTATTTCTTGAGGACTAGAAAAGATGCAGGTACAATGCAACAAAGAAGAGATAATTTGGAGGAAGTCATTAAAACTCTATGTTGAAATATAGCATGAATAAAAAGAAGAAAAATTGTTGCAGATTCGTAGCAGTTTTGGCAAGAGAATCCTTTGTTGCATTAACTTGGGTTTCTTTGGAGACCACAGATGTCTGCAGTGCTCCACACCACCATACTGTTTCTGCAGCAATCATCTGGCAGTGGCCTGAACATACTTTTACTGTCAGTTTAATCCTTGTTTAAAGTTTGGCTGACACATATGTTGATGAGGTATATGAAGTGATGCCATGGAGGCAAAAGCCCAGAGCAAAATGTTGGGTTTTAGGAAAACAGTCCTTTTGTCAGTATTATGTACTCTGGTTGGGAGATGCAGAAGTGCACTTCATTGCTGGTGTGAACTGTCTCTACATCCAAGCGCTTGTAGATAAGGCCAGCAAAAGGCTTTCTGAGTTGTATAGAGTCTTAACACAAACAGGACCAGTACCCAGGTATTAGGTAATTTGATCCTGAAAATATTTTGTAAAGGTTTTCATGAAATACCATTTTGACTGCTTTTGAAATACAATTTCAGACAGTGTTTTTCCTGGAAAAGACTAAATTTAAAATTTTCTTGCAAAATGAAAGTTTAGAGTTCTGTTCAATTGTAATAACATTTTTATAATGAAAGGATTGAACCTCTCTACAATGCCACAGATGCAGGAGAAGTGGAAATCAGACAGTCACAAGTCACATTTAAAGACAGTTCAGAAATAACAAGGCAATGTGTGAAACAGAGTTCTGCTTATATTGAGGTATAGGTCTATGTTTATCTTTTCATGTTTTTACTGCTTTTAATATGAAGTATCTGTTGCAAAATCTCCAAACACAAAAATAAAAGAAGTTTTGTTAGGAATTACAATATCCATAAGATACAAGTCAGCCAACAGTGAAATGGACAAAAATACTTCTAATTCCTTTAAAAATTAATTCTCTCTTTCTTCATTCTTTTGAAGACAAACAACATGAAGTTGAAATCCCTTCTCCAACACAGAAAGAGAAAGAGAAAAAGAAGCGGCCAATGTCCCAGATCAGTGGAGTCAAAAAACTGATGCACAGCTCCAGCCTAACTAATTCCAGTATTCCCAGATTTGGAGTTAAAACAGACCAAGAAGATGTTCTTGCCAAGGTAGGGAATATAAGTCATTGAATTTAAACCACACAATTAAAATAGAGGGTGGGCTTGTCAGTATTGTTCCATCCTCTGCTTGTAACTATTGATTTCAAGCTGTAGCACCAAAGGGTGGTCTCACTTGAAATAGTATTAATTTGGTGACGTGGAAGAATAACAAGTAAAATCAGAATCAGGCCATAAGGGTTAATTTCTGCTTGAACAGGATTTCATCTGGAGATGGAATGTAAATTACCATTTGTGTACCCATTAATAAAACTGCTTATTCCTAAATCTTATCTGCAAAATGAAAACTAAACATACCATATACCATCACAGGAATAAAAATATATAGCAGCCCTACATTTTTTGAAAATGCCCAAGTGATACATAGCATTAGAGCTATCCTTACAGGTCCTGTCTTTAGCTGTATCTTTTTACATACATAATTTATGGGGTTTTTTTTAGTGACATTTCCTTTTTTTGCACCAGCTAACTAGGTGGTAATAATCTAAAACTGGCATAAAATGATTATTCATTTAATTTTATGCATTTTGAAATATGCTTATCCGTATGTTTTCCGGAATCTCCCCCTGTATTTGAAAGAGTGTGTCTGAGAAGCAGGGAGACAGCAGCAGAACTGCAGTATCTCTGGAGGCTTCCTCCTTGCTGAACTCTGCTGTCACTGGGCAGTGGGATGGCAGAGTGTGTCAGTTCAGCTCATTCAAGATACTATAGCACTTTTCCCTCTGGAGCAACCCGCTTAAGAGGCACTGTTTCCTGCTTAGTGATTTAAAACTTGGAAAGTTGGTAGCTGCAAATTCAAATGTTGCAAGATTAGCAGCTTTTACCCTTTAAGAGTTTGGGTTTCATTTTCATAGTGGCAAGGTTTGAATCTTCATGAGTCTACTATTCATAGCTGGTTTAAGTCAAAAGTTGCTGGAATTTGTACGTTAGGTTTCAATGTGTCTGTTGCTTGATTCTACTCTAGGAACTAGAAGATGTGAACAAATGGGGCCTTCAGGTTTTCAGAGTAGCAGAGTTATCTGGAAACAGACCTTTGACGGTCATCATGCACACCATTTTTCAGGCAAGTTGCAGCAGCCATACTGCTTTTTGCTTATCTTGCAGATTTTTCCTGTGCTTTGTAATCATAGTTGTTTCTCTCTTCCTTTTCTAGGAACGGGACTTGTTAAAAACATTTAAGATTCCAGTAGACACTTTAATAACTTACTTGATGACCCTAGAAGACCATTACCATGCAGATGTGGCATATCACAATAACATACATGCTGCAGATGTTGTTCAGTCAACCCATGTCCTGCTGTCAACCCCAGCATTAGAGGTAAACTATGCTGAGATAGGAAAGAGACAGGCATGAGAGAAAGGGACATAGTAAGACTCTACTAAACTAAATATTAAGGGTCTTAGTTTCTGTAATATTTTTAAAAGAAATCTTAACATTTATTTCATGCATTGTGCTCTTTTAATGATATTCTGTGAGGATCAAATCTTATTTACATGTAAATATTTTGTGGAAAATGTCACATCTTTTTCTTTTAAATCATGGTTTTTTACTTGCAGATTGGTGCTGTCATAACCCTTTTTGTTGTAACACAAGGCATAACTTATTTCCACCATGTCATTATTAATACTACATCCTGTTCTGTCATTATTTCCCATGTGGGATTCTCACTAACCACAGTCAGGGCAATTGCTTAGGAAAGATAGTGTTAAAACGAGATTCCCTCAATAGGGCCATTTGTTTCTTGGGGGTTTTTTTGTGCATATTCCTTCTGGCCTGAAAGGCTACTTCTATGTTTGTCTCTCAGGTAGAGTGGGATATGTACTAAATTTTCACTGGACTATCTCTCTCTTTTTTTTTTTTTTCCCCATAAATATTTCAAAATTGTTTGGAAAAAAATAACATTTCTTATGTTCTTTTCTGAAGAATTCTCTTGTCAAAAGTGCTGAAATGTCTGAAGCAGAAGGATGTGGAAGAAAGATGGAGATTATTTTCCATTTTTTAAGCACAGTTAAAAGTCTTAGCATGCTGAACATTGATATATCCCAGTAAATTGTTGGAAAAAGGGAGATAAAGCAAGCAGCTGAAATTTTAGTAGTTCAGAAGGATTTCCCCTGATTTTCAAGGAGGCCTGCGTTTTGACTCTTTTTCATAATGACCAGTCTTTCCTGTAACTTGAATGCTTCTGCTTTACCTTCTTCTTAACAAGAGGGTTATAAGTGAACCTTAAGACTGTTGGCAGGCCTTGATCTTCAAAGTCTCAGGAATTCTCTTGGGAAAGATTTTCTTTGTCTCAAGAAGGAAGATCAGATTACATTCTTAAATCACCACTGGGTTCCAAACAGCTGAACTGGTCGTTAGCAGCATTTTCGGGTTTTTTTCCGGATCATTTGTTTTTCATGGCCTTGTTCTCAGCAGAGCTTTAGCCAGTAAAATAGCAATGTCTGCCTGGTGCCACTGCTGACTACACGTTTCTGAGCTGTTCTGAATCAGTTATGAGAGGAATTATATAATGTGGGTGCTTGTGACAGCAGGGGTCTGGGCTCAGTGACATGCCAGGTCCAGTGCAGTCCACTTCTCCTATCTTCTTAATAATCTTATACAGAAGAAAAATCAGTAAATGTTAAATAAGATGACTTGTACACTGTCACCATTTCCTTTAGCATCATTTAGGAGATGTGTGTCTTTCAAGAATGGGACAATACGTAGTAGTCAGACTGAAACTTGTAACTTCAGTTTGTGCTATAGGTTAGAATCTTGTACTTAATGATCCAATATGTACATAATGATCTAATAAAAATGGGCTTATTTACACACTGAAGCTGAAAAAACTTCAGCTGTTATGGGATTTAGTGATGCTGTTATAGTGAAGTAAGGATTATTTTATTTTGGCCAAACTTGAAATATTTACAAAATTCTACGTAATTGGTGATTTTACAAAAGGTTGTGATCACCTATGTGTAAGATCTTTTGAGATCCCTGATATATTACAGACGTGTTTTGCTTGTTCACATCTAGATTTAAAGTAGGGTCCTTTTTTATTGAAAACAGTTTTTCATTGTTCAGTGATTGTTGCTTCTGTTTCATGATTTTCTAGGCTGTGTTCACTGATTTGGAGATTCTTGCAGCAATTTTTGCCAGTGCAATTCATGATGTAGATCATCCTGGGGTTTCAAACCAGTTTCTTATCAACACAAGTAAGTTTAATGTTCAGTGGTTTTCTCAAAGGTTTTCTCTAAGATCTGCACACAGCACCTGAAATACACAGTTCATTCCTTGTTTGCTTCTATCTATACCTTTTCTCAGTAAATAGGTGTTTGTATTTTAAACTGAGTACTATTTTGCATTTCTTGTAACTTTAGAAATAATATACATAGCACCCTCTAGTAAGAATTACTGAAACATGAACTATAGTCCTGGCACTGTTCCAGTGTTTTGGATGTTTTCCCTCCTGGAAATTAGTTTACATTAAATAAATAAAATTGTAGGAGAAAAATGGAGGAAGATTAAGTAAAAATCAAAAAAAGGAAGACAACAGTTTATGGGTTTATATTGGAAGCATATGATATGACCAAGGATAGACATACATTTTTAAGAAATTTAGAAATCAAGTTTCTTTTTAGCAAGCAGACAGGCTCATCTCTGTCTGCTGTACTTGATTTCTGATCCCTGCATACACATGCGTCTTGGACTGAATTTTCGCAGCCTGTCTCTGCAGGCTGTGAGAAACCTCTTTTTTTTTTTTTTTTTTTCTTTCTTTTGTTTTGGTGTGTCTTTTCTTGGCACTCCATGTGTGAAGGGAAAAGCCCTAATGAAACGAGACCCTAATGTCATCTCCAAATTTGAAACCTAGTGTACTTGTTCGACGTTTCTCAAGGCTGTTCTCTGCAGCACTGTATGAACCTCTCCTCTCTCTTTAATCTTCTACTAGAAGAAAAACACTATTAGCTTTGCTGAATCTGATCGTGACACATTTACAGAATGGCTTGTTGCCCCAGTGTAACCTGCTTTGATTTCAGTGGCGTATGTTACTGTTGTAAGTGGGTAGCACATTGTAGGTCAGTGTGAATTCCATCATATGATGTTAGTTCTTTTGCCATCTGACAACTTCTCCTTTTATGATAACTGACCCAGAAGTACAAAACTGGAAATAATACTAATAATCCAAGCATAGAAGAAGGGAAAGCTACAGGAATGGAAACACACCTGGAGTTGTGTATCTGACCCATCTGGTTGCACATTTATAGGTACTGTCATTCATGCACCTGGATGAATCTGTTGCACTAGCGCTAAAACAGTATGATCCCAAATCAGCGATATACTTTGAAGAAGGGAGCTCCTTTTCTGACTCATTGCTGCTGTATGTTCAAATAAGACCGCTCCAGTTTAGCCTGCATGTAACTTTATCTGCCTTAATGACCTGAGGGCTGCCCTGTGGTGAAATTGAATTTGATGACTTATCTGCAAGGAGTGGGATTGGGATTAGCTCTAGATTCCTGGTGCTTTATTGGTAACCAGTACAGTTCAGCAGTGCGGTGTGGGAAGAGAGTGAATCTTGAGAGTGGGTATATACAAATAAAGTTTTTGTTTGTTTAATCAGAAATTGAATATCAGGATATATTGTTGGCTCTGAGGTGCTACAGGGAAACCACCGAGTTGTTCAGGTTTAAACAGGATAACTGGCTAGTTGGAAGGGACCAGTAGTGATACATAAAGCTTTCTCTTCTAGGCAGACAGTTGAAATTCAGCTAAGTTAGGAGTGATTCTGATGCTGCTTATTTAGTGGCTTAGAAGTGTCTCTTTTTTTTCTCAGTTCAGCTTTTTATAGAGAAGGCTTCAATGTCAATCAAGTAACATCCCTAACTGGAATTGCTCTTGTCAAGCTGAAAGAGCCAAAGGGCTTTTATATCTTTTGAGTTGTTCTGTGTACAAAGAAGAAGCTGTAGGGACAGAGACAAGGACCATGTAATTTGGGTGTCCCAAATTCTAGGTTTTCCTAACCTCTAGAAGATCATTTGCTTCTACTTAGTTTTGTTTTCCAGTGAACCTTACAATGTATTAACATTTCACTAAGTGTAAGAATACATTTTTAAAAGCATAATAGATTTAGTTACTTAAAGTATGTACATATTTGCCGTATTTCAGCTTATTCTTTATAATTACTCATATATTATATTTCTGAATATTATTTACCTATTTCAGGATTTAAAGTCTGTTTACAAAGTTGTCTAAAAATCTGAACCCCCCTTGAATGCTATTAAAAAACAAACATATATAGATTGTGTTATCATCAGAGGAGATGCTTATTTGATCACTGTAACTCTGGGCTTCCAGACAAATACTGTTGTAGCTTGTAATTGTAAGCTCCTGTTGTAGTTTATAATGTGTTATAAAACTTACCAAGGGGAACTTCCTCCCATTTCCACCTCCGTTACAAAGTTGAGCACATTTTAGCTCTGTCTATAGCTCCAGCCCTTCCAAAGTGTTTTGGTAATGTTGAGTGTTCTCTGTTGGGGCTTATCAGAAGGCTGTTTGAAAGGAAAATAAACTAATACCTGTCTTCTTTGTAGGAAAAGTAACAAATAGGCAAGCTTTGTAAATGTTCTGTGAAAGACAAAAGAGACATCATTTGACAAAGTCACTTTCTTTTTCCTTTGTTATTATGGTTTTGCTGCCTTTGGGATAAGGAAGGGTAGAGGATGGGATTCCTGATTCAAAAGATCGATGTACAAGACAGGAGAGGAAGACAGCAGGGGAATGGATAATGAGACTAATGAAATCTGAAGAGCAGAGCTTTTATAGGCACCCCCTTGAGTCAGAGGGATTTTAAAACAAAGCTGCTGTAGAAGAAGATAAAGATAACAGAGTAGAATAGACTAATGTATTGTTAGATTTAGAGTAGAACAGCTGTAATAAATACAAGTTAATATCACGCATGACAAATATGATTCCATAAAAAGTACTTGTTTGTATGATAGATTCATTTGCAAGCTGTGTCTTAAAACATATGCAGTCTGACTGTGTGTTATCTAATGGGTAGAATCTAAAGCTGTGCAGAAAATTGTCGTAACTGCTTTTATTTATCAGAGCTGGCTGTTCAGCAAGTCTGAGCAGACAAATATAGACCTTGTGTGTGTGCCTTCGCACAAACCTTGGTAGGAAGGTGTGTATGTTATTCTCACAGCCATGTGGAGTGACCAAGTTCAGAATATTTCTGTTGGAGAAGGCAGCATTATAGCATCAGGCATTGACCATGCTCAAGTACGAGGCAGTAGGCAAGGCCATTGCTTGCACTTTCAAGCCATATGCCCTTCCAAGAAAAAGACCAGAAGCATAAATGTTACCATCCTGCCAGACTCCTCTCAGAACATCCAGTTATCGTGGACTAATGACCTGTAGACCTAATAGGGCTAGGCATCTGAGTACCTTAGCTAACTGCAAAAGGACATGGTTTGAAAATGTGTACTCTGCCTGACCTGCAGCAAAGCCTCAGCTGTGTATTCCCAGTCTCAGTGCTGGGTAGTTGCAACTTAACTTAAACAATGGAATTCTTGTGATGGGAGGAAGGCATGAGAAAGCAGCACAGTGTATTTTAGTTCAGGTGTGATTTTGCATATAATATTTTCAGTGTGACCTCATGCAGATATGAACATGTATTCTGAGAAATACCTTCCTTGTATTTTTCCTAACTTGCCACTCCAGGCATACGTTCATCCTTCACTGCAAAGTGTTTTATTTTCCTCAAAATACATTGTTGAGGAATCTTAACTTGATTTGTTAAAATGTTCAGTCATTAATTCTGTAACTTTTGACACTGTGGGAACTACAGGAACTCTGTTTCTGAATCTGTAAATCTTGTTATGAATGTAATGAATTTAAAAAATCTTTCGGGATTTGGTAGAAGCACAGGCTTTAGTGACGTTCTGCCCTGTGATTGTTATTGCAGATTCTGAACTTGCTTTGATGTACAATGACTCATCAGTACTGGAGAATCATCACTTAGCTGTGGGCTTCAAGTTGCTGCAGGAGGAAAATTGTGACATTTTCCAGAATTTGACCAAAAAACAGAGGCAATCATTGAGGAAAATGGTCATTGACATTGTGAGTTCTGCTTGAGAGTCCCTCTTCCAATACTGCTAGCAAATTGAATAATAAAGCACAGAAGCATTTTATGATAGACCCATAACCAATGAAGTAAAAGTTTGATGTTTTATCATGAATAATGGGTTCTTTTCACTTCAAATAACCTTCTATATCTTTTTAGAAGGTATACGATCATGCTTCAAGCTGTTTTTGTACTAACATGTATGCTGTTTCCCCATCACAGTTAGAAATTTGCTACTGAATTGACAATGAATTTAGGCTGATTAGATTATTCTGAGCAGTGCTGAACAAACAATCATTTTATCATATTCTTAAAGTAACCAAAATTAAAACTTGCTATTTTGGACATTAATAACGTACAGGACTCGGACTTTTATAGTGTGTTCAGACACAGGAGTTACAGTTCCCTCCCAGGACTGCTTATTTAGATGTTCAATTAAAAAAAAAAAAAAAAATCAGTAGAATAATTTGTGTAATATTCATTTATTTGTTTATTTCTTTCAAGGTACTTGCAACAGACATGTCTAAGCATATGAATCTGTTGGCTGATTTAAAAACTATGGTCGAAACCAAAAAAGTGACCAGTTCTGGTGTCCTACTTCTTGATAACTACTCAGACAGGATTCAGGTAAGACAACTCATCTGCAAATGGTCATTTGTATTAACTTAGGTCGTTAATAACATTGGCCTGCCCATTCTCCAGTATGGGTTAGATCAACTGTCCATTCTCGCACCATGACTCACTGCCTTTCTTCTATTCCCTCTTATGTTTCCTACCTCTATTAGATACTGAGTGACTCTCTGAGAGAGTAACGAGGTGCTAGAGTACTTCTGGACTAAATGAGGCTTTGGCCTTCTCTTCAAATTATCAGTACCTGATTGGTCTTTCAAAGATTTTCAGACTTTTGTACAGGCAGAAGCAAGGTAGTTCATGGCTATTACTGAAAGTGTGAAAAACACCCGAGCACTTAAGTTTTTGCTGTTTAGAATAAATCTTGCACTACATGTATTTTCAAGATTCTGTTTCACAGCCACCAAAAGTGTAAATGGAAAAGGAGCTGGTTTTTCTCCAGTGTAATAACACCACAGGTGTTCAATCTATTTTAGGTTCTTCAGAACATGGTGCACTGTGCAGATCTAAGCAATCCAACCAAGCCACTCCATCTCTACCGCCAATGGACAGACAGAATAATGGAGGAGTTTTTCCGTCAAGGAGATCGGGAAAGAGAGAGGGGAATGGAGATAAGTCCCATGTGTGATAAGCACAATGCATCTGTAGAAAAATCACAGGTAATGTATCTGAGTAGACCGTAAAATAACACGGTGTGACATTTTAACAGAACAGGATGGTCCATAGCCATGTTTTGATTAATTTCTGAATGCACTATTTCCTTTTTTTCCTCCTAGTTAATTAATTCAGCCCCTGTAAATGAGGGGAGCTGAGATTTTTGCTGTGAAAACATCATGCATGGCAGTGTGTTTGCTGAAGGGATTCCAGTGCTGTGATGATATGGAATGAAGCATACATGTCAGAAGAGAGTATTGAACAGCTGCTCATTAGGGTTTCCTTCAAAAACAGAATTAAATATTAAGCAGCTCTTTGGCTCACGAGATGCAGTGGCGTTGTTTGGAATAAACAGTCCATTTGAAAACAAGTCCTTTCCAAGTCCTTATCCAATATCCTGAATCAGACTTCCGAAATGTAAAAGACCCTATTTACTACATAAACCAGCATGGTGTCCTTTCAGCCATCTTTCAGGGTAGTGCATCTAGTGTCTCTTACTAGTGTTATATTTCTTATACTTTGCAAGACTTACAGGCATAGTTGTTTGTTTCTTTGTGAATAAGAGCTCATCCTAATTCTGTATTATTTGAAACAGGTGGGTTTTATAGACTACATTGTTCATCCTCTGTGGGAGACATGGGCTGATCTTGTTCACCCGGATGCCCAGGATATCTTAGATACACTGGAGGACAATCGAGAATGGTACCAGAGCACAATCCCTCAAAGTCCCTCTCCTGCACCTGATGACCAGGAAGAGGGTAGGCAGGGCCAAACTGAAAAATTCCAATTTGAACTAACACTGGAGGAAGACGGTGAGTCAGACACCGAAAAGGACAGTGGAAGTCAAGTAGAAGAAGACACCAGCTGCAGTGACTCCAAGACTCTTTGCACCCAGGATTCAGAATCCACTGAAATTCCTCTTGATGAGCAAGTAGGGGAAGAAGAGGAAGAGAACCAGACAGAACCTTGTCTAGTAGAAGACCATTCTCCTGACACGTAACAACACAGGCGCAATCTCTTTCTCTCTTGACCTCTCCTTTTCTTTTCTTCTTTCTCTCTTTGTGTTTTTTTTTTCTTTCTTTTTGTTCTGTTTTTATTAGGTAATGGTTTCCAAAGCGTATGTCATATGCTACAATGATGGTCACAACTCGCTGTCATCTGCCAGGACGTTTGTTGATCAAAACTGACCTTGATGACTCAGTTTGGCACTCAGGAATATTGTAACCAGAATTTTCACCTCCATGGCACCAGAAAGCAGGGGGGAGAACATCCATAAACTACATTTTAATAAGCTCTCCATTTGATTAAATAAAGCAAATGTTTTCAGGGGAGTACCACCTGCCAACTGAATGCTGGTATGCTTTCGTAGTTTTTGAATTCATTGTATTTCACAAGCAAAGCATTGGATAATGTTCATCGTGAGAGGAAACAGACAGAAAATAAACTGAGGTCCCTACTGGAAAACATGCACATAAATGATGGGACACAACATGATTCTGTTACCAATAGGAAGCTGAGCTGTGGAAATTGCATAATTTTCTAATTTCAAGTCTTCCTGATACGTGACTGAAAAAGGTGTGACCCAGTGGGTTGCACAAACCTCTGCATTTTGTATAATATGTAAAAGAGAGATCTTTTGTAGAGCTTACTTTTATTATTAAATATACTGAGGTATTATATTTAAAGAAAAACACTTTCAGACTTCATCTGCCACTGGTTATTTTTTTTCCAAAGAGTAACTTGCAAGTTTTCAGTACAAATCTGTACTACACTGGATAATTCTTCTACGTTTTTTTCCTTTTTTTTTCTTTTTTTTCTTTTTTTTTTTTTTTTTAAACCTTAGGATTTCATGGTAATATGAGCTGTTAAAGTCTATTATTTTATATATTAGTGAGTTCCATGAACATTCATGATTTTACATAAAACTCTTTCAGTATGATGGCTTCTTTATTTTTTCATCACAGTTTTCCGAAACATATTAGAGGAACTTATATTGTGCTTTTGCTGTTAGAGTGGCCTGATCCTGTGAATTCTGTCTTAGTGCAAGAAGTGGACCCAGTGAAACAAACTGAGACCACTAAGACTAGGATTTGCAGGACTAGAGTCCATTAGAAAGGTAATGAATTGTCATCTTATTATAAAAACAGCTCTTCTGTTATACTAATAAAATTCATCCCTCTGAAACATGGTTTCCCAGACCATTTTTGTCTGGGAGCTATAGACTGCTAAATCCGAGCAGGCCAATAAAACATATGGAATATATGTTCTGGCAAAAAAAAAAAAAAAGCATTAGTGTAATATTTCCGATTTTGACTCTCAATAACTTTTTATCTGTGTCAGCTATCTAGTTAAAACACTTGCTAATCTGAGTTGTGTACAACATAGAATTAATTATAAGCATTATTTTTTCCTAACTTTGTTGCAAGAAGAGCCAGGTCAGTCTTTTCTTTTTATGTTTTTAAGTAGAAGAGCAACGCATCTTGAGAGTTGTAGTTTACTCCATATTATTTCAATCTCAGATCTTGTAATCCTTTATTCAGCTTGTGCTGAGGGAATCCTGCTTTTCAGTTTGATTGGTACTGAATGCTTCTGTAACTTGGAAAGTTAAGGAGAAGTAGGAGTTTGTATTTGTGATTTTCCAGTCCTGTTGTTTGGACATATGAAAGAAGGAATTCTATTTCCTCTGCTTTACTCTTCGTTAAAATTGTAGTTTTGAACGTAGAAGATGGGAAATAGTTGCATAAGGAAGCTAGCAGACTCTCATTCTGTGAAGTTCTGGTAAAATGACAGTACCGAGATGACTTCTTAACAAAAGAAGATAGCAACAACCATTATTTCCTCTTTGGATTAATTTTTGTAGTAAATTTGCAGATACAGTGGGGATTTTTAAAGTGTCTGCAATCTAGACTAAAAACCTGTTTAAAAACTATTGCCTAATAATTCAGCTTTTAAATGCACTTTGCATTCTTCTGTATCCATAGTTTTCTCTACCTTTAGCCCTCACAGGGCCTTAGCACAGAAGATGCTGATGGAGGAAAGAGAATGAAGAGAACTCATGGGATTTTTTTTTTTCAGTTTTTGACTCTTTTTTATTATTTTTTTTTTCATTCTTCATAATTTCTTCCTGAACCTGATCCATCTAAAAATCCTTTCAGTCCCTAAGAGTGCCTGGAACCTTAATAATGGAAAAGCAATATAAATTCCAAAATAACCAGTAGGGACCTGAAAAGTTTTTGTATCTGCACTAACTGAAAGTAAATGAAAAGAATAACACCATATTGTGAGATATACATCCATACATGTGGACAATCACATAATAGAGAATAATATTTCTTAACAAATGGGGATATAATGCACTGTACAATCTTTTTTTCCTCTTTTGCCAAAGTGTGTTTTAGCATTGCACACTGCTTTAAAACAATACAATTTACAAGTGGCTTTATGTGTGCTGAATATTTTTGCCATAAGAAAATGCAGTGAGTGAGTATTGAGTGGGGGGAAAAAAAGAAAATTCACCTTGCTTATAACAGTACACTTTAGCTTGCAAGTTACTGTACTCAATGCTGTATTTGAATTCTTAAATTGTTTTGTGTCATTGTTAAAAAACAATAATGAAAAAATATAGATAGAACAAATAGCATTCAGAAGTTTAAAAACTTGAATTAAATGGATTTTACAGAAAGCTTTGACAGTTCTTTTCAAATGCATTATTTATTTTGTGCCATGCATTTTTCTCACCAAATGACCTTACCTGTAATACAAGTCTTGTTTGTCTCTGTTTACAACCATGTATTTATTGTAATGTACATACTGTAATGTTAATTGTAAATTATCAGTTCTTATTATAACATCATCCTTGTCAGGGTGGTGTTGCTATATTTGGAAACTCTTGGTGAGAGAATGATTATTGTGTATACATATTCCTTGTACATTTTTTCTCCTGTAATATATTCTGTGTCACCTTAGAGCTTGTTTATGGAAGATTCAAGAAAAGTATAAAATACAAAGATATATCAATAAAAAAAGCTGCAGGTCTTTGGTCCCAGGGCTGTGCCTTAACTTTAAACAATATTTTCTTCTGTTTTGCTGCATTTGAAAGTAAAGTAGCTGTGGGGCTAGGGCTGGGCATTTCTACCATATTTTGGTTGCTAAATGATGGGATTACTCATACAAGCTAATATGCATGATACTACATTGAGCTTTCATTCATGACTCTACTGGAAGTTCAAGCTTTTCCAGATTTCTGGCAATATAATTGTATTGCTTCTCTGATTGTCTTTTTACAAGCTATCATTGGGGATTATTGCAGCCATTTTTTTCTAAAAAAAAAAAAAAAAAAAAAAAAAAAGGCATTTCAGTACTGTACTGCACTGGAACAGCTTTGGAAAGCATCTCTAATAAGCATTTTATTTTAAAACATATTGGGAAAAGGAATAATTGGAATTGAAAAGGTATAACTCATACACTTTTACAATTGTCTGTTATATCCTTTCTTTATTTAGTAGCACAAATTATGGCAGTATAAGCAGAATCCATGAGGACAAAAGATGAATTTAATCTTGGAAATGCTTTCCAATGCCAATATTAGTGTTGTAAGCAGCCCAAGTTTTATTTTGTATAGAACTATCTAAGGCTTTGTACAGGTATGTATAGCTTAATGCACTAGATCTACAGGAGAGTGGTGAACCTTTAAATCTTTTAATAACACTAATACTAGGTTTGCAGGTTGGACTGAGCATCTCTTGCTGTTTGACTTGTCACATGGCTCCAGATGACTTAGAGCTGGTATCAGTGAGTTTGCCAGAGTGAGGTGAATACCTCTCCTCCATTCCCATGGTGCCCAGCCCTTGTAGCATGTGACTTCTTTGTGAAAGGAGAGATTCTTTTTCAAGGAAAAACAGAGCCTCCTTTTTGACACAAACTGTAGATTTTAGCAGCCCTGGTCCAAAGGAAATCGATTGCTTTTGTTTTAAATGGTATAAAAGGGACACTACAACAACAGGAATCCTGAACAATTTTTTTGTTATTGTTTTAATTTGATTTTTCCTTTGGGTATGTCTTGAGAGTGGCAACTTGTGTGAACATTGCACATGACTATTCTTTCACTGGTTTCTTAGCCTCTCTTACAGCCTATGGGATAGTACTGTACATCAATACCTTCATATGAATTTTTATATGCAATGGAAATAAAAGCATGGGTTGATTCTGCCTAGTTACTGTATTTTTATTTTCTTTTGCAAGAAAGAAATTTTTTTTTTGTTTAACGTGCATCCCATAGTCGTGACATCTTAAAAGCGCCAGAACAAATTGATAACCGTAGTTCTGTTATCATTCTGTTTTGCACAGAT